AAGATGAATAGCAACAGATTGAGATTTCTAATCATAGGCATAAGCATCGACTTGTTTTGAATACATCTCGCGTGCCCCTGTGGAATTTCGTGTTTCGAGAAATGTTTCAAATGAGGAGGGTTCGATCTGCCGATTGTTGCAACCCTACCATAAGAAGGAGTGAATACCGGCCGGCCCGACTGGTTGTCAAATAATTTCTTTACCTCTGAAAACATTTCCTCGATGATGTCTGCCTACAAACCGTAGGAGCAGTTCATTGGCTTTGGATAGCCTCCCGAAAGGGGCTCATCCTTGGCGAAAAGATGGTGTTTACTGCTTATTTCTCATGGGGTGGGCTATGGATTGTAATGAAATTTTTGTGGCGGTAGCATATCACAGCCATATGGTCCTTTTGCATCCAGAAGTCGCTGAAGAGAAGAAAAAAACAAGAGCTTCTCACAAAGTTGTGAAAAATGCAGAATAGCAATCGACGTTGCGGGCCTACTGTAATCCTGGATTTTTCAATAGCAGAGTAAATCGTTTACCTGTGCATTTGTTCATTCTTTTCCTTCATTAAGAGGGCCTCCCATCTATGCGAAATTACCCCGTTCTATCGTCCATTTGGTAGGTACGTTTTGACGGTCTTGTTGAAAGGGAGTCATAATAAGTGGTTTCCACATCGACTGGTAATCGCTATGAGTTCATTATAATACTGCGCATGGGAAGAATCGTTCTCTAGCCGCGAAGAAGCTCAACTTTCCATGGAGCTCCCAATGGAGACGAAGATATGCCAATAGAGTTCGGAAAGATGTTTACGAACATAGAATTTGAGACTGCTAAATGGGTTCTTCTAACGAAAAAATTCTGAGCGTTCAAGGTTTGCGTGGAAGAATTTTGGAGATAGTGTCATTTGAAATGCGCAATATTCCCAAGGACAGACAGCAAGCGTCGCCGTGGCGCCCGGGTATGTTCTCTTCAGGTTTTGAACGAGACTGGTTCTGGTTTATCGTTGCAGACATTTTCACTCATTATGCTTCCTTTCCCATATAAACTTTCGTATTTCCTGTAACTTGTTCCTGTTAGCGCCTTAATTCGGCTATCATTTACAATCGTCGCACTATTTTGAGATGGAGTGCAGAAAGTTGCATGAAATACGTTTATAGCTGAAATAAGGCACTTTTTTTTGAATAATGTCAGTGAGTATTATAAAACCTTCCATTGATAGGGAGCGAGCTGTGTGAAATGTCGGCAAAGACGTGGGGCAACCTTTTGTCCTCTGACTGAAGACTTCATGTCACGACGCTATCGTCCTTCCGAACAACTGCATATTCAACTGTCGCCATCTCAAGTTCAGCATGCGAATCTTGGAAGCTTGGAAGTTTCCTTCAAAATCTCTTTTAGCACTTTTAACACATTGACGACCGCGTGGCCCGCCGGCGGGCCACACCATATCGTGCCCCAGTAGTATTTATATTATTTATCAAGCGTTCTTATAATTTTTTTTGATACTCAAGTATCAGCTTGGCTCACAACCTTCTAGAGAATCTTGAGGCATCGTGGTCCAGAAATCATTCCCTTCCAACTTCAATTATAAGAGAAATTAAAAGTTAATGTAAGGACAATGTAAAAGGCGCGGTCGCCAAAGGGTTAATTCTTACCCTTTACATCCGGCAATCTTGTAACTTTCGTTTTACGTCTTTTGTACGATGCGGTTGCAGTTAGCAGAAGATCGCTTATTCGAGAGCAAAATGTATTGATCGGCTTGATTCCAGTCGAAAAAGTACGCAGTCAATGTGAAATCAGGTCTTAGCGGTATGATAGAATTCTTTAGTGATTTTTTGACAAGCGGCATCGGCTACATGTACATCTTGTTAATGTCCATCTTGGTAAACTATCTGATCATCTAGGTTCACTGGATGCGAGCCAAGGGGTGGTGGTGTGGTTGTAAGTGGCGCACTCTAGATTCGAGTATCGAACAGATCTACAGTACCGTTCAGTGAAGCGTCTATGTGTCTTTACTTTTTCAAACGTAACTTCCTCGAAACACAAGGTTTTCTTTTGATTTCTCCACTGTGAAGCCTATCACTGAATGTGGTCCGAGGGCGAGTTTTCTGACGTCAAGTTGATTGGAAATATTTTGATTGGTTTAAGGCAAAAAAGGTTAAACACCACACTACCAGTGGAAAACCAATCTGTCCTAATTTTCAGTTTCTCAGCGCAACAACTTGCATAAGAGCAAATATAACAAGTATGACGTCAATACTTTGTTGCATAACCTTGGGAGCAAATGACCACTTGAATCGGTATGGCATGGACTCGATGAATTTGTCGATCTCCTCCTGAGGAATGTACTCTTGTGCGGTCTCCATTTGTGGAGGTTGTCGTGGTCGTTGAGAAGAGGTTTTCGACTTGACGCTCGAGCAAATCCTACGGTGTTCTATAGTATTCAGATTTGAGGATCGCGCCGGCCACGTTGGGGAGCAGCTTCGATTTTTGCTTCGGGCCATGGTTAGCTGAAAATTTAAGACAACGGGACCAGTACTGCGAACAAGCCAGATATCGACCTCCATAATGTTGGAGAACGTCTTGGTATCCATTTTAACTCGATATCATAGAGGGGGCCAACTCCTTTGCCACAGAAGCTGCCGTGAACCACACCGTACCCCGTCATAGTTCACGTTTAACAGCTTGTAACTTGCATCGCATCTGTTACCAATTTGACGTCCCACAAACTTGATTTGATCCCTTCCCAACAGCAAAGACATCGATTCCTATCTTTAGATGGCCTCACGGCACTGCTAGATTACCCAGTTCTTGTGAGCATGAGCCCAGTCGAGAAGAACTTTGCGGTTTCTGGCAGAAATCAGCGGTTTTTGGGACTAAGCTTTACTTGCTTCTTTACGTCCGAACACACCGGCATCTTTCGGAAGACGTCGGACAGTGTTGACAGACGGGTTGGTCCCCCGGGCGAAGATTCCTCGAAGAATTTCGGAGCGAGCCATTCCTTACACCTGCGCAATGTTTCTTGCGGCAAGGAAAAGCGTCATTCTCGCTGCTTCTGAGTGGCTTTTGACTTCGACTGACCCTGTGACCTCGTGTTACTTTCAAACCATTTGTGCGCACCTAACTAGCATGCCTTGAATTCCGGAAACTCGCCTAGATAATAAGGCTTCATAGAACCCCCGAATGACGGCTTCAACTTAGTTTTGCCGTAAATTACAGACTTCCGAGTGCATTGTCAGCGCCTTATTGATGTACTAAGTGTGAGCCGTAAAACAGGACGCCTTGAACTTTTCAACATAAAAAGCCACGGAGTCATTGAAGGCGAAAGTGTATGCTGGGGGTGGGAGGGGCGATTCGGAAATAAACCACAGTATTGGTTGGAAGTGTGCTGCTAGGCCGCTGCACAAATATAATGATCCTTACTATATATAAAGCGCTCTGTCTGTCTGTCTGTCTGTCTGTACGGAAATTCGAGATAACCTGAAGTAACACCTGGAGAAGTCGGGTCAAGTTTGGAATAGGTTGAGCATAGGGTAAGTGCAACAGAGCACATGTGAGCTTGGCGGAGCTCCTCCCCCAAGGGGCGGGGCATGCGCCAGGATTGGGCGGGGTCATGGACTAATTCTTCTATTTCGGTCTCATAACAGTCCACACGCTGGGAAAAAATGTGCAAAGGTGAGGAACGGGTCTACAACTAAAATAAGGGAAGCTTACCGGCGGTGGGCGGAGCGTTCTCGCAGTGGGCGGTACCTTCCACAGAGATTCATAACTCGATTCAACGAAGGCATCGAGGCCAGGAAAAAAAGCAAAAGGGTTAACCAAGGCCCTATGCGTGCTAGGCATGCGTAGGCGTAGCAAAGCCCCGCCCACGGTGGGCGGGGCGTGCGTTAAGATAGAAGCTACTTTTAAAAAATGAGTGTAACTTCGTTCGGAAATGTTCTAGGATGCGGGAAAAAAGTGGTAAGAGGTAATGGAACAAGTGTGGCCGAATTCCCGAAGTGGGCGGGGCTGGCACCAAAGTGGGCGGAGCTTAGATCAAAATTTTATAACTTTGTTCAGAAACGTTCTAGATTGCAGGAAAAAAGTGGTAAGAGGTAATGGAACAAATGTGGCCGAATTCCCGAAGTATGCGGGGTTGGCGTCAAAGTGGGCGGAGCTTAGATCAAAATTTCATAACTCTGTTCAGAAACGTTCTAGAATGCGGGAAAAAAGTGGATAGAGGTAATGGAACAAATGTATTCCCCGAAGTGGGCGGAGCATGCACAGGAAAGCGGGGCTAAGACCAAAAATTCATCTCTTTAAAAACTTTTTGGAATGCGGAAAAAATGGTTCAGAGCAGACAAAAGAAGGGTGGTCAAGTTTACCGTGGGAAGGGTTTGCACTAGGGTGGACGGAGCTATGATCAACCACTAATAACTCTGCTCAAATATATCGAGCGTGATGCTCTCAGCAGTTCAGCGTTCGAGTCTAGAGAGAACTATCTTATTCTGATTATCTAACATTCCGCTGAATGACTCCATCGTCAATAAGTGGCCGTCGACATATACTGCGCGCATTAGCGTGCATAGCCAAACTGGTGCTGTTTAGGTTCCCCGCGGAAAGGTTAAAGTTTGCGGGGTGACATTCGGAAAAGTAAAGACGCATACTTCCCTGAACGTTGCTGTATACCCGCTCACGCCAACCGAACCTTCCATCCCTCTGGATGGGTTGAATTTTTAGGAAGATAAAAGTACTGACCGGTACACCAAAATCCGTTGTATAGGCCTACCCAGAGATACCACCGAATCCTTGATCGAGGTTGAATGTGTTATCGATGCGCGTTCTACAAACGGAAACAGTTAGCGCCTCACAGTCGTAGAACAACTCATCGGACAGTGCAACCCTTCTCTGGATAGTGCTAAACATGTTAGTCACCCAAAGTAAGTGTGAAGCGCTGTAAAATATGGTTTGTAAAAAGAGCAAGGTCAGTAAATGATGCTTGCTTTGCTTGTACTTTCTATGTATTTCCATTAACTATAATGTTTAAGAGCGCAGTATTTCCCCAGAAGCTGTCTCATCTTCTTTATGGAAAGAAGCTAGAGATACATGATAGGATCAAGAAAATAGAAAAGAAGCGATCTTCAACCAGGTTTTTCCATCTTTCCTATGATGATTTTTTTTTTGTATTAAATATACGATTTTCAGAGCGAATGGCACCACATACGTGTATGATTATCCAGTACTAATCGGTCGCGCATGTCTAGAGCAGTGGAAGAAATTACACGATCGATCAAAAAATTGCAAAGGAGTCGAACGGGATCTTTTCAGGCAGTGAGTTTGAGGCTAGATAATTTCAAGGAGAGGTTTGTGTTTAAGAGTTGAACAGTGCGTGTGGAGTCTCGTCCTTTTCTGAGAGTTGTGCTCAGCGCAGTCTCATCATGCCTATCACCTTAGTTTGATCTTAGTACTGAGACAGTCTCATATAGATTTTTGTAGATATTCCTCATCTCGAACAGCATATCACCCATTATCACTTGCCGTGGGTGGGACCTCTTTGTCTTGCCCTTGCTTGGATCCCCTTCATATGTTTTCAGCTTACTTGGGGCAAAATGTTATTTTTTAGCTTGGGCACTGAATTTCTACGGAGATCTGCATATGATTTCCACTGAGCACCTGAAGGAGTGGCGCAAATTATGGTCGCAGCACGCTCTCTTCTCCCCAATTTCTGAATGTTAATCTCCTGTAGAATTTTGAGAGCTGCTGAACTTTACATCTTGGGTACGATGGTAAAACATCTTGGTAGAGCAGTTCTTAATGAACCTTAAGCCGTGCCCTTAGTGAACACGACCATTGAGTTCCAAAATGACTAGTGTTTCGTTGCAGACACATGAAGGAATATTGATGAAGACCCGTCTGTTGTTTGGAAATTTTACTCGAAAGCTCGGCGAGGTAACGAACTTTCTCATAGATATTGTCGAACGGTGAGAGTCTCTCTTCAGTCAGAAGAATATGTAATCTGCGCGACCGTTCCCGCAGAAGCCCGATTCATTCCGCCAAAGAGATGACCGGGCAGATGTGCATTGAGCACATCATGCTAAGAAAATTTAAGTGTCCGGGTCATCCATTCACCGTTATTGTAGCAAATCATCGATAATTAGCTTTTATGCTCGAGACATTGGTACAGCATCAGATCGCGTGATTTCCGGAATGGACCACGCGTTCTTTTTTTGAGTGACGACTGTAACGCAAAAGCAATATGGTCGTCACTAGAGTCGCAAAAGCCTTTATTATAGCCTTGTGGCATTCAGATTTCAATTTTATCAGGCAGTTTCGATCGAATGAACGCATCGTCACTGAACTGTAGGCTGCTTACGAAAATACGGAACAAGGCACTTGATCTGATTGCCGTCTCATTCGGGTCACTTGAACGCGGCACTCTAGCGGTTGACGCGTCCAGCATAGGTGATGTGATGACCTTCTTTTTAGGTGCTTCGTTGAGCTTCATGTAGGTGTAGCGACGGCTGAATAACGACTGCTGTGGTCGGAACAGATTTGCTGAATGTGACATCCCGCTGATTCTTCAGAATACAGCCCCCGAGTTGATTCGTCGAGCATCTGTGCGTCAATCCTGAAGATGTCTAGATGCCGCTGACACCATGCTTCGAATGTAAAGTCGGCATCGGGCGTCCTGGTAGCTCGTTGAAATGTCTTATTGGTGCTGCCGCTGCTGGAATTTATTGCTACGACTGCTGTCGTGCGATCCCTTCCGAACATCCATGAGTGCCATCAAGATATACTGGGATGCTCTTCCATCAGTGTCCTGATTGCCACTATTAATTCATTACCTCATTGGCGGGATAACCAATGAATTAGGAGGAATATTTATCAGTAGAATAATAAAAGACAAGTAGGTGACATTGAATTTGTATATCCTAATACGAATTTATAAATCCTAATATTGTCGCGAAAGATATATACGAGCCAATACCCTAACAGTTTGGTTCATTCTATCAGCCAGGCCAAAGAAAACTCGAGGGATTGAGATAATGGGTAAAATATAGTGTGAGAATTAAGCGGGTAATTTTTAGTTTAGGCGAAATAGCGAGCACTTACAAGGTGAAATGCGAGATAATGAAAGTTTAGTTAACTATGGGTTGATAACAACCAGTAAGAAGGCAGGCCAAAGAAAGCGAGGCTTTTAGAGGTAGCAAAACGAATGAAAAGCGAATTGTTCATGATTCAAAAGTGAAAACGATTCAGCGCGGTTTCGGAAGCGATGAGATAAGGTAAAGTATCTTCAATCTTTGGAGAGAAGGTAATTATGAGTGTTCATCGAGAATCGATTGGCGGTTTTGGTAGAACATAACGAGATCTTCTTGGGAGAAGTTGCCCGGGAGTGGTGAAATTAGAAGAATCCAGAGTTGCCTTGTAGTATGAGATGAATGAATCAGAAAGTTTGAATACTTGGATCAAATTCTAATTCGCAGTCTATTGGTCTTCATAGTGTATTTATCAGTATGTCAAAAAAAGGAGTGCCCTAGGACCTAGCTTTAATAAGTGTTTTCAGACAATTTGAGATGTTGACCGCCGAACAGCGTGTGGCTTATCACAACGGTGACTACAGGCAATTCCTATCTGAAGAAGAACTAGTTGTGAAGGTGTGTTTGAAGTTAATCGAGTCGAATCGAATACTCATGAATAATTTCAAAAAAAGAGCAAAGTGACCATTTCTGTGTATGCCAAAGTGTTTGGTTTAAGTAGGCTGTGCGGTGCTGTTGTTAGTTACTGAAACTAGCACTCGTTCAAAAGAGTTCACAATTACTGGGTGTCTCAAAATTATGGTTCTTCCAAATCGATCTGAAAACACCACAGTTTCAAAAGTGCTAGGACAGAAATTAATTCTTCAGTTTCACCACATTCACTGTTATTAGTTGCATCAGAACATTCACTATTACTGAGTTGCACTAGAACGCAAAACGCGCACAAGAACCTCAATGTTGATGAAGCAATCCAAGAATGTAGCAGATTATACATATAATCGGCGAAATGTGTCTGTTTGTGTGTATGTGTGTATGTATGTGTGTCTGACCGGAAATTCATAAATCCTGTCCCCGTGGACCTAGAAAGTTCAAACTTGGTGGGAGTACTGAGGGCAGGACAGGAACACTTATGGTGGGTTGCAGGACCGGACTCCGCCCATAGGGGGGCGTGGTTTGTGCGAAGTAAGTGGCAGACCGGAAATTCATAACTCCTGTCCACGTGGACCTAGAAAGTTCAAAGTTGGAAGGAGTACCGGCGGCGGGATGAGAACACTCATGAAGGGTAGCAAAACCAGACTCCGCCCACAATAAGCGGGGTTTTACCAGAAATTCATAACTCCTCCCTGTGGATCTAAGAAATTCAAATTTTGAAGGAATACATGCGGCAGGATGTGGACAGTCATAGCGGGTAACAGGACCGACTCCACCCACTGGGGTCGGGTTTGTGCGAAATAATTGTTCGAGCGCAAATTCATAACTCCTGTCCTCGTTTGACCCAGAACGTTCAAATTTGGTAGGAGTAATGGGAACAGGATGGGAACACTTATAGTTGAAGGCAGGACCACACCCCGCCCACAGGGGACGGGGATTGCGCGAAAACTGTCAACTTGACCCTACAGCATTCAAACTCGGTAGGAGTACAGGCGACAGGATGGGAACACTTATTATAGGTGGCAGGAAGGGATCCCGCCTACAGGGAGTGGTGTTTGCGCGAAAATTTACAATTTGGCCCTAGAGCGTTCAAAGTGTTCCAATTGCACGGAAATTTCACGAAGGTACGCTTCCTTAGCCCATCTGTCTTTTTTCTCTCTTAATACTCGCCTTTGTGATATTATGCGATGTTCCATCGGGGCACAGCGAAGATGGCTTACAGAAAGAATCGCTCTCAATTCGGAGCTAATACGGAGGGTGTATAGGGTGACCTACATGAAGTGTGACGCAGAAAACTAGCATCAAAATTATACAGATCAAATAGGAAACCACTACTCCTACACAATTACCACAAAATTGTAAACAACACACCACATCTCGCATGCAGCTTGACCATCTCTCGCTTTAATGCACACATCCGACCTCAGTCGGATGTTTTCAAGAATGCGCGCAATCACTTTCATCCCACGCTTTTACAAAAGAACTTTCTTTCAGAGGTTCCTAAGACCTATGTTTGAAAGCGCAGGCTTTTTGCTCCAGAATCGACCATACGTCAAAACCCAAAGGATTGAGATCGGGGAATTCGAAGGTCAAAACTGCTTCGCCCGAAAACCCGGAAGCGTAGTTTCACAACATTACAGCATCTTCTTTGCGCTGTGGGCTGGTGCCTATTTCTGCGGAAGGTTTAGCTGACGTTCATCGCGTTCCTTTCCTCCCAA